AAATAAATAAACACATCATGGTAAAATTAATACCTTCTCAGCTTCGCATCGAAGCTAAAATGCATTTAATTATTTCTCTGTCTTAACAAAATTTCCGAATTAGCATTATGTTTATTTTATTTCATTTCTCATTTTTGATAATGTCATTTAAAGAATAACTGCTTCTATGTAGACTTTTATCTATTGTGATTCTTTTTTTTCTAAAAAGTATTTTTATATAATTTATATTTAACTTAATCTGATGTTTTATTTATAATTTTTTAATTATTTTTGTATATTATTATTTGTTATTATTTACACGATTTATAAATATAAACAATTTTTGTTCATAATATATTTGTACTTATTAATATATTTGTTTTTAAATTCGTATTATTTTTTAAATGTAGAAACTTATGCAAATACTTTAGGAGTGCACTTTATTATTCATGATTAACAGAGCTCACACTTCCTATAAATGCTCTCTAAATATTTTAATATACACAGTTTTATAAAATACGAAAAAATAATTAAACTATATGTATATGTATTTATGTATAAAGACAAATTTTAGGATCTTGGGGATGTTGTAGCATTTTCTAGAACCCTTGTGTTTGTGTGCTGATTTTGTTTATGTATGTATTTAATACTACTATATATGTCGTCACACTAAATATATTTTTATTAGTTGTTACAGTCAATGAATATTAGTGCAGTTATCAAATAATGTGATTATTAGTACTAAGTATTTGTCCTACTTGTAAAAAAATAAATTCAAATAAAGTCATACAAATGAATGTGATAAAGCTTTCATGGATTGTCTTGTTGCTTGAAATGCTTAAAGATGTATCCATATTTACAGTTGGGTTCTGGCGTATAGTTGCAGCCACCGACTAGCAACCATCATTCTGAAGATAGACTCTGCAATGAGACCGAAACGTCAGAACTCAACTGTAAACATGGACACATCCTTAAGCACTTCAAGCAAAAGTCATACAATTTTTTTTTTAATTATCTTTAAAAAATAATTTTTACAAATTAGTGTTTCTTCTGTAGGTATTTTATAAGACTAGATTAAAGCCATTCTTCAATCCTCTCCCATTTTTTTTTAAACTTTCTTTGTATAGGATGGTGTGGACGAATCTTTAACGTAGCAGTTCCTGAAGTGCACTATCTTTGAATCGAGACTAGGTCACAAGCGTCTACGTTTTCTAATCGAGAGATCAGTTCAGTAATTGGAGTCACCATCCCTCTCTCTGACGACAAATTAACCATCTGATTTGGAATATCTATAGTTAAAAAATCTTCTCCTCGAAAGAAGACCGCAATGGCCCTAATAACTTAAAATAAATCATTTTTTTATGTACAATTACATTAAATGGTTTTATAATAATATTGTGAATCACTGTAAGATTCCAATCTTTGCTAAATTATCCTCTATGCTAATTAAGGTATATATTATTCTAATCACTATTGAAGTAATTCAAGGTTATTTTAAATAGGCAAAACATATTACAGCCGAGAGTTAGAGGTAATTTCAGAGTTTAAGTGACACCTGTAACTAACTAAATGTAGATAATTATATTTTAAATTTTTAACTTGAAGCTTACTGTACACTTCATTTTTAAAATAAAAATCCATAAAAAAAAAATTTATTTATATACAATAAATAAAAAACCCAGCACAGGGAGGTCACGGCACAGTGGTGACGTGGCATAGATGGATCAAGTATAATGATATCTGACAGTGATTAAAATCACTATCAAAAAAAAAACGCTTCGATGCAAATCTTTAAATAGTGTTTAATTTTAAAAAATTGGTGGACTATTCCAAAAGCTACATGATCTGCTAGTTCATTATTAATATCCTAATTAAGATAAAGTATGTAGAATGAAAAAAGGATTATTAAAAAATATTATTTCTCATAAAAAAATAATGTTGATCCATACACTTTTCAATATGTCATAGCATTATAAAGTTAAAAATGTAAAAAATAAAATCGAGAATTTTCACACAATAATAGCATTCGGTAGCCATTTTCACCGTGAAGATAAAATAAAGTCCGAAATTTTTTTTTCGCATAATAAAGTAAATTACATTAGCTTTAATTTAAGATATATATAAAAGTGTCAGACTTTCCGGAACACTTTCAAAATTTAAGTTGAAAAAGTTCTACTTTCTACATGCATTTTTTAGATTTGAACCCCCCTCGTATACAGGGAAATAGTCCGATTTAAAAAAACAGTATGTCAAATGAAAGATGCATATAAATACTACTCCTCATGAAAAAATTGTACTGATCCATACATTTTTCAAAAAGTTATAGCATAATAAAGTTAAAAATGTAAAATACATAATCGAAAATTTTCATACAAAAATAGCATTCGGTAGCCATTTTCACCGTGAAGATAAAATAAAGTCCGAAATTTTTTTTTTTCATGATAAAGTATATTACATTAGCTTTAATTTAAGATATATATAAAAGTGTCAGACCTTCCGGAACATTTTCAAAATTTAAGTTGAAAAAATTAATTTTTTGTGAAAAAGTTGTCATTTTAAATCCCCCCTTGTGGGCAGGTTAAGGGTTAAATTTATGAAAAAAATATACCAAACGAAAGGTAATGATATTACACATTTATATAAAAAAGAATTATATTGATATGTTCATTTTTGAAAAAGTTATGGCACTTTTAAGTAAAAAAAATTAAAAAAATTTCGAAAATTAGCGATTTTTAAATTTGTACCAATACCTTCTCAGATTCGCATCGAAGCTAAAAACATATACCTGAATTTTAATCACTTTTTAACTCATTATTTAAAATATTGCTTGATAAAATATTATCAGTGTGACAATATGAAATTTGCCATTATATTCAAATATTTACCGTTTTTCACTAATTCTAATACTATTTGAGGCTTGTTTTATCATTTTTTGAAATTTTTTATCATAATTTTTACCTTAAATTACTAAAAATAAATTTAGTTATGACTATAGTTATACCCAACTACAGTGGCTAATAATTTAAGTAAATTAAATTTAAAATTAAACTTAGGTTAAAAATCTTATTTAATAATACTGCAATTTGTTAGTTTTCATGAATTATTTAATGATAATTTAACTTATAATAGTATAATTCTAAAATTTCTATCAAATTTAATATGAATATAATACTGTGAATATTTATATAATAATATAATTTATATTATTATTATTATTAATTAGATACAGAATATGTATTGCAAAATGGTTTTCGTGTCATTGTTACCATTTTTTTTTTTTTTTTTGTAACCATATAAAAATTATTTTATTATTTGAACATAATATACAATTTTCTTTGAAGTATTATACTTTATATTTTTAATCTAACTGTTGTTTAAATATTAAATTAATCTTTGTAGTAATAGATAGAGTAGGGAAATAAAATTTATTTTGAGAAAAATAACTTATTAATAACACTGAAATATTTTTTATGAATTATAATGGAGTATTCAATAAAGTAATTTTTCAATTATTTTGTTCATTTTTCATTTAATATGTTAAATTTTCCTCTTGTGCAACTTTTAATCATTTAAAAATCGTATCCATTTCTTTTTACTACTTAATAATTAAACAAAATATTGTCGAACATCTATCATCTAAATTGATTAGTTTTAAACATTATACAATGAAAAGTGTTGATTAAGTTTCTAGATGAGAACAATAAAATTAAACATTAAACATTTACAAACTAATATCCTTTTTGATTTAAATGACTGTAGTAATATTTAAATTTTTTCTAATGTAGACAACAATTATTTAAAAAAATAATAATAAAACAACAGTCAAGTCATTATCAAAAACTCATTATTATTATTTAAGAAAAGTACAAAAAAGAAGTATAATATAGTATGTCTAAAACATATTTAATTTTATCTGTTACTTATAAAAACATAACGCAACTATTTCTTTAATGATTAAGAACACTTTGAAATTACATCCATCAGCTACATGAATTGTAGCTGTAATATTTATGATGAGTATAAAATAGATATAATAGATAAACTCATTACATTTTAATAGTTTATATATATTTGCTTTAGTAGTCTTCTAGATGAGAAGGTTATCTCAGCATGACTATTGCGAAACGTGTGGATAAACCATTGCTGTAGAGAGAATGATTACTCCAATTACTCAGTTGATATTTTGCTGATACATTCTCAAGTTATCAATTCAAAAACATTGTTCCCATATTAAAATAATATGTTTACTAAACATTTATTGTTTAAATTTAAACATGGAGAGGGGCTGTATAATTAAATCGTAAATTATCACACACTGTAACTGGTTCAATACTAAATCATGTTTTTGGGTGAAGTATCAGTTGCATTAATTATATTATCACACCTTACTTTAAAAGAGACTTAAATAAAGAATAAGAATTGTTGAAACGAGCCAGTGATGGTACAAATATAAGTTTTAAAAAAAACAGTACAGTCGGCAAGTTATATATACAGTGTGTTCAGTAAGTAACAATTTACCTGTTTCCTAACTTACTAAACAACCTGTATATATCAATATACCATTTTTTACGGTTGCATAATTTTGAAATATTTTTCTAAATTTTTATATTTAGGGGATTTTTTTTTTAATTTGTGATATTAATAAGTTCAAATCGATTAAACTTGAATGATTTTGGCGCATAGCCCAATAATATCAATCTAGTGAGAGCTAAAAATGTTCAAGAACTGACATAAAATGGTTACACATTGGGGTCGTGGCATAGTTAGGACAAATATAAATAATATCTGATAACGTGATGTGCGCTTGAGGGAGATATAGTGAGCCAAAAGTAAGGTTTTAATTATGATATAACAAGATAAATAAAATTAGGTGTGTTGATTAATTAATTTGAATTTTTGAGCACTTGAATAAATTTAATCATCTTACTTTCGGTTACTATAATTCAGTTTGTTTAATATTATTGGGGTCGTGGAGTCCGAGGGTTTAGAGAATGACAATACAATCAGATAAAAGGGTTATGATGAGTATTGAAATTTAATGAATGTATCAAATTTATAAAATTTGGTAAATCATTTGATAAGTCTTACGTTTCAAAGGCACGAGATTAGGTCGGCAAACCATGAAGCGTAATAAAAAAATGCGTAGGTACGATCTTTGGTCAAGCACTTCGAACGCATTTAATAATTCTCCTGACAAACCAGTTAATAAATTTAATATGAGAAAGATAAGTTAATTATTATTGTTTTTTCATTCTCTTCTCGGATTAAATAATTCCAAATTATTGGAATTATAATGTATCACCTACTTTATAATATTTTTTGCGGAATTGAAATGAACAAGACTGACAAGTTTTCTTTTGAATATTTGAGACTGGTGGTCAATTGCTCTATTTGATTCTTGACTTGAAAAATGGAATGAGTGAGTGTAATGTATAGCTTTTTACGGCTTTTTATATGATATCTATGATCTATATATGTCACCAAAATGTAAGAATTGACCACCAGGGCTCTCATCTTTATTGAAACGAAAATTATAAGCAGGGATAATATGTTACATTGGTTATGGTACATTTGATTTTTCTTAGGGATACTGTTATTTAATACATTGTCTTTGTAGATTAATTTACAGTGTTTACATTTATGATACAGATATTAATCTTAAACTGAACAAGTACATATATTGTATTAATTACATCAGTGATTATGCTATGATATCAATTTAAGATAATTATTTTATTTTGTGATAAACATTGCGAATAATATTAAATTTGAGCGATGAACGTTATCACAACAGAGACACGGTACCGGGTCAAATTTAAACACACATCAGTAGACGAAGTAATAAGTAAATCTAACATGAAATAATTATGAATATCATAAAATTATAGAATAGTATATGTTATAACTATACGGAATATGTCAATTGTATCATTTATTTATACACCAAGAGATTCATCAAAATGATTTCTATTGAAATTATTTTTTTCGATATTAATACAAATAAAGTATATTTGATTGGCTTTAACGAAATTTTGAGATTTTTTTTTATAAATTTACTGTTCATTGTAATTATATAAGTTCTTGGCCAAATATCAATTTAAGCAATACGATTTTTTAAATTCTCATAACATTTTTAGCTTCGATGCGAAGCTGAGAAGGTATTGGTTTTACTAAGATGTGTTTTTTTTTGTGTCTGTTATCTTCACGGTGAAAATGGCTACTGAATGCTATTTTTGTGTGAAAATTTTCGATTTTGTATTTTACATTTTAACTTTATTATGCTATAACTTTTTGAAAAATGTATGGATCATTACAATTTTTTTATGAGAAGTAGTATTTATATAGATCTTTCATTCAACATACTTTTTTTTTAAATCGGACCATTTCCCTTAATACAGGGGGGATTCAAAACATAAAAATGCATATGGAAAGTAGAACTTTTTTAACTTAATTTTTTAAAGTGTTCCGGAAAGTCTGACACTTTTATATATATCTTAAATTAAAGCTAATGTAATATACTTTTTAATGGTAAAAAAAAATTTCGGACTTTTATTTATCTTCATGGTGAAAACAGACATTAAACTTAATAAAAAAAATACGATTTTTGTAAAAAAATTCTTTTAGCTTCGATGCGAAGCTGAGAAGGTATTGGTTTTACTAAGATGTGTTTATTTTTTTTTTTGTGTCTGTTACCACTTTTTCTCAGCTCTCACCGAATCGATTTCTTTCAACGATACGTCAAAAGATCACAAATTGTATCTATTCGAAGACATTACCCTTCAAAATTGAAAAAATTTCCCTCGTTTCCCGTAAATGGGGGAAACCTTCAAAAAAATTACAAATTTAAAAATCGCTAATTTTCGAAATTTTTTTTACTTTAAAGTGCCATAACTTTTTTAAAAATGAACATATCAATATAATTCTTTTTTAAATAGATGCATGATATCATTACCTTTCATTTGGTATATTTTTTTCATAAATTTAACCCTTAACCTGCCCACAAGGGGGGATTTAAAATGACAACTTTTTCACAAAAAATTAATTTTTTCAACTTAAATTTTGAAAATGTTCCGGAAGGTCTGACACTTTTATATATATCTTAAATTAAAGCTAATGTAATATACTTTATCATGAAAAAAAAAAATTTCGGACTTTATTTTATCTTCACGTTGAAAATGGCTACCGAATGCTATTTTTGTGTAAAAATTTTCGATTTTGTATTTTACATTTTTAACTTTATTATGCTATAACTTTTTGAAAAGTGTATTGATCAATATAATTTTTTTATGAGAAATAATATTTTTTAATAATCCCTTTTTCATTCGACATTCTTTATCTTAATCAGGATATTAATAAGGAACTAGCAGTTTATGAAGCTTTTGGAATAATCCACCATTTTTTTAAAATTAAACACAATCTACTGATTTGCATCGAAGCGTTTCTTATGATAGTGATTTTAATCACTGTCAGATTAAATCTATACTGGAACCTACTATGCAACGTCACCACTGTGCCGCGATCCCCCTGTGCTGGGTTTTTTATTTATGATATCAATTTTAAATTTGTAAGTTGAGCTGAAAAATGTTCAAAAATTCACCATTATCAGTTGAACCGAAATGTTACATGGATTATTTTTAATATATAAAAAATATATTCGCAGACGTTCCGGAACATATCCAAAAATTATGTTAAAAATATATAATTTTCACATGGATGGATGGTCTGTTTAAAACCCTTCCTGTGCTTTGTTTTTTTTGGATTGTCATATAAGCATACTCAATGAAAGAATATTTTATTTAGGATACTATATTAAAATTTAATTAGGAAACCATATAATAAAATTAATTTTCTATGAATAAGCAATTCTTTCTCACAAGGGAAGACTACAGTAACCGAGTATTTGATATTCATTGAAATTGTTCAATCTAAATATGATAAAAATCAAACGAATTATGAATTTTTAACTTTACTGAATAGAATTATGAGGAAAGTGCAAAAAATGCATTGTAACGGGCAGAATACAAACCTAGTACCCTAAGCATGAAAAATATTATCGTTATAGATGCGGTGATCGTATATTGTATTTGTCGGTAGATAAAAAGAACAATTTAATCTAGTTTAAAATTTCAAAATCGTTTTTCTGGACTTGGTAGAAGAAAAAAAAATCAAAATATTCTTAACTTATTCAATGTAAGTTAAATTTATAAAAATTAACTTTCAATGCTATAGTTATCTCTTGTATGGTATTTAAAAAAAAAAAATTGCCCAATTGTAGGGTTGAAAAAAAAATATGCTCCAAAACAATTTCATATTGAAATTATTGGGAGAGGGATGTCCAATCTTTTTTACATGACACTTTTTTAAAATATTTTTAAAGTTTAAATAAACAGATTGTTCTAGAAGTCCCAGGACTGGCGTATTAATGGTGACTGTAATAACTCATCCTTATCATTTTTAGATAGTACCAACCTTTAAAAGAAACGTGTCAACATTTCATGAAATTTCAACAGCGTATTCCTAAGTTACAGTCATTGAAGTGAATCTACTTTCGTTAAACAATGGATAAAAATGAATTTTGAACGTTGATTAAAAACTGCTATTGATGGAAAAAAACTGTGAAAACCCAGAAATGGCTTGAAAAGTGTTATAAAAATTTTGCCCCGTCGAAAACAAAACAAATATTTATCGCTGGCTTTCTGAATTTCAATGCCATTGTATAGACACAAATGACATTGAACGCTCAGGATTCCCAAGTGAAGCAGTTACGCCAGAAAACATGAAAAAAAATCCATAAAATCGCATTGAAAAATCGTAAAGTGAAAATGCGTGAGATGGGTGACATTGAACAGATCTTAATTGAACGTGTGCATCATATTTTACAAGAACATTTAGGTATGAGAAAGCTATCCTTGAAAAGGGTGCCATGTTTGCTAACAGTAGATCAAAAACAACAACGTGTTGATGATTTACAGAGCTTTTTGGAGATATTTAACAAGAATAAGATGACATTTTTGCGTTGATATGTGACAATGGATGAAACGTGGATCCAGAACTACACTCCCTAATCAAAACAACAGGTAGCTGAGTGAACTGGATCTGGTGAAAGAACTCCGAAGAGGCCACAAACGCAGCAATCATCAGGCAAGTTTATGGCCTCGGTATTTTGAGATGCGCATGGAATTATATTCATTGATTATCTTAAACATCAATAGTGAGTACTATATTGCATATACATTATATATATATATATATATATATACTAACTGCTTATGGCGAAGAAAAAGATCCTGTTTTATCAAGACAATACATCGTGTCACAAATCATTAAAAACGATGAAAAAATGCATGATTTGGGATTTGGATTGCTGTCACACCCACTGTAAAGTCCAGATATAGCCTCCAGCAACTACTACCTTTTTGCGAGTCTCAAGCGGATGCTCCAGGGAAAAAGATTCAGTTTGAATTTAGAAGTTTGTCCAAAACTGAGACGTATTTTAAGGGTAAAGATAAATTTTTTTATTTGAAATGCAATTAGATACGAATTGGATCGTTTGAAGTATTATTCAAAATCGGTTTTGTGAGAACTAAAAATAAAAGGTAATAGACACAAAGAAAGCAAAACATATCATAGTAAAATTCTCAGCTACGCAACGAAGCTAAAATTATTTTAAATCTTTATTCATAATATTTATAATATTTAAGTTATTTATTTAGAAAACTTAAAATATAGGTGAATTTTTAAAGTATTGTCTTCTCATTAATTAACTCAAAATTTAGCGATATGTGGCTTTTCTCTGGCAACTAAAATATTAAATTTTGCGATATTTTAAATTATTCCTTTCAAAAACACTTAAATCTAAATTTAACAATTAAATAAAATTATTCTCATTTAGATAACAGCTAAACAATTAAAAACTTGAATATTTAGACTATTTGTACAACTAAATAAATGAAATAATTTTCGTTGAAGACATCACTAAAAATATGTATAGTACTCTTTGAAAAACAACACTTAAATTACTAATATATTTATTCTGCATAAAAATTTATAAATTCTTATAACGTAATTTTTTCTTTCTAACGCAATTCTAGAATTTAGTACATAGATTACTAATTATGTTTATCAATCTAATGCATATAAACATACTTTTTCTTCCTGTTGTTTTCGCCATACAATATGCCAATTATTTTAAAGTAAATTCACGTGATTTTAAATCATTGCCTTTGAAGAATGTTGTGCATGACATTTGGTACACTACCCACTACATGAATGAAGTTCGTCTAAATAATGAAAAGATTATGTATAATAGAGATAACCAGACTTATACTAATACACTCGAAATTATCTTAAGAAAAATTATGTTGTTATTGTATACAGACATGCAAATATTTTTCATCAGTGAAATAGACAAAATCATTAAAAGTAAAAGTGACCAAATGATTAATTTAAAAAAAAACAGTATTTTAAAGCATATTGATGCAATTTTTCCGGGTTGTTATTGCATTCCTTATATTCTTGATTATTTGTACAATAAAGATGTTGACTTTGAAGATTTACTTGGTTTATTTTATGCACTTTGTATTGTTCCACGCAATTATGTTGAATATTATTTTGATTCATTAGATTATGAATCTACAAGAACCAATAACCTATACACAAACCTTAGAAAATTTTTGTTGAACAAGTTTGGCAAGTCGTTTGTTTATGAAAAATATTCACTGAAAGAAATTGATAGTGCTCGGGGTAAATTTAATAATTGGAATTTATTTTTGGAAGAAGTAAGTCAAAAATTAAAAAAGTTTAAATCTAGTACTTGGATAGTTCCAGAAAGGTTAACTTTTAGTTTTCTTATGCGAAATAATATAATGGAATACAACAAACACATTCAATTGTTATTGAAAAGTCCTGTAGAAGTCAATGATATTTATAAGACATCATCAGTTGGCAAACGAGGGTTACAGGAATTATATCGTAATATAGCTAGATTTGATGTGAACCCAAACACATTACTAACATTTTATAACATAGTTTTAAAGAAAATGAATGAAATTTTTGATTTGTTCTTATATCGCCATTTATTGATTTTTTATATAGATATCCAATCAGTTAATTCAACCAATAAAACTTCTTTTATTGCAACTATGAAGGGAATTATGAGCTATTGTAACTGGAAAGCGATTTTTGATAGGTTTCGAGATTTACTATTAAATTTGAAACATACATTTACTAGAACATTCAATCAGAGTAAATTGGAACAATGTATATTAAGTAATATTTTATTGGACAACCATTGCAGTCTAACTAAAATTAAATTCCAAAACGCAACAAGCATAACAAATGTTTTATCAACTTTGCTTTATGTATTTCCATCAAACTTAAGCCCCGAACTAATCACAAACAAAAACATATTGTTGCATAACTTCACTATTGATTTGAAAAGAACAGAAAAATTAATGAAGCAAAATTATGCTGATGCAACAAATTATGTTAATGAATTGATTTCATTATGTTCAAAAAATATAAACATTCAATATGCAGTACCATTCCTGAAAAAATGTATAGAAAGTAAAAATATTAATGGATATATGCATTATTCCCATTATTATTAAAATTTCTCTTTACATTGTTTTTTTAGATTTTAAATTAAGATTTGAATCAACCTGTTTTTGACATTATGTAATACATAAAAATATGTAAATGATTTAATTCATCATGTTTAATGCATTTAAGTAAGTATTATCTTTTTTAAATGTTTGTACTTAACAATAGAACGATTAATTAATTATAAAATAAACTCTAATTGAAAATTTAATTTAATGGAAATTGAGAAATAATAAATATCAAACATGATAAAGTTTATAATCACTTAAGCTTTCATTAAAAAAAATTTAAATAATAAACATTTGTATTAGATATAGATTAAAATACATTGAATTCTGAAGCAAGAGAATATAATTTATTAAATAAAGGATTATATGATTTAAAAATAAATATAAAGAATTTACAATTCGTTTTAGTTTTTCTTTTTAGCTTCGATGCGAAGCTGAGAAGGTATTAATTTGACTATGATGTCAATAAATTATGTCATAAATTATGATAAATTATCATTAATTGTTCGTTAAAAACTTCAATTTTAAACTTAAAAAATTAAATATCCCAGTATAAAGATTAAAAAAAAAAAATCTGACTATCTTCATTATAAAATTTAATTTTAAAAAAACCCAGCACAGGGGGATCACGGCACAGTGGTGACGTGGCATAGTTGGATCAAGTATTATGATATCTGACAGTGATTAAAATCACTATCAATAAAAACGCTTCGATGCAAATCTTTGGATAGTGTTTAATTTTAAAAAATTGGTGGATTATACCAAAAGCAACATGATCTGCTAGTTCGTTATTAATATCCTGATTCAGATAAAGTATGTCGAATGAAAAAGGGATTATTAAAAAATATTATTTCTCTTATTTATTTCTCGTATTTTTTTACAAAAATCGTATTTTTTTTATAAACTTTGATGTCTGTTTTCACCATGAAGATAAAATAAAGTCCGAAATTTTTTTTTTTCATAATAAAGTTTATTACATTAGCTTTAATTTAAGATATATATAAAAGTGTCAGACTTTCCGGAACACTTTCAAAATTTAAGTTGAAAAAGTTAATTTTTTGTGAAAAAGTTGTCATTTTGAATACCCCCTGTGGGCAAGTAAAGGGTCAGATTCATAAATAAATATACCAAATGAAAGATAAAAACATCATGCATCAAAAAAAAAAATTATATTGATATGTTCATTTTTGAAAAAGTTACGGCAGATTTTAGTAAAAAAAATTGAAAAAATTTCGAAAATTAGCGATTTTTAAATTTGTAATTTTTTTGGAGGTTTCCCCCATTTACGGGGAACGAGGGAATTTTTTTCAATTTTTAAGGGTAATGTCTTCGACTAGATACGATTTGTGATCTTTTGACGTATCGTTGAAAGAAATCGGTTCGGTGAAAGCTGAGAAAAAGTGGTAACAGACACAAAAAAAAAAAATAAACACATCTTAGTAAAACCAATACCTTCTCAGCTTCGCATCGAAGCTAAAACATCCTCTTAAAGAAAATAACGTAACTATATTGATTAGGATTTATAAACTTTAAATATTAGACAATAAACTATAACATTGAAATCAAAAATCTAAATTTTATGAGCAGCTATAGTTTTTAACTAGGCGTCGATATAATAATAAATTTAAATTACTGAGTTAGTTATACATATTTTAGCTTCGATGCGAAGCTGAGAAGGTATTGGTTTTACTATGATGTGTTTTTTTTTTTATTTTTTATTTTTTTTTTTTATGTCTGTTACCACTTTTTCTCAGCTCTCACTGGACCGATTTCTTTCAAAAATACGTCAAAAGATCACAAATCGTATCTAGTCGAAGANTTCTTTCAAAAATACGTCAAAAGATCACAAATCGTATCTAGTTGAAGACATTACCCTTAAAAATTGAAAAAAATTCCCTTGTTCCCCGCAAATGGGGGAAATATCCAAAAAAATTACAAATTTAAAAATCGNTGTTCCCCGCAAATGGGGGAAATATCCAAAAAAATTATAAATTTAAAAATCACTAATTTTCGAAATTTTTTCACTTTTTTTTCTTAAAACTTCCATAACTTTTTGAAATATCAACAAATAAACATAATTTTTTTTTATACTAAAACGTTAGATATCTACTTTTTATTTGATATCATTTTTTTGAAAATCTATCACGTGACCTGCTCATTAGGGGGGATTTAAAATAGCAACTTTTTTACCAAAATTAACTTTTTCAACTTAATTTTTGAAAATGTTCCAGAAATACTGCGTCCTTCAAACATATATCAAATTAAAGCTTATTTTATGTACTATAAAATGAAAAAAAAAA